TGAGGGATGTGACAGGAGGATGTTTATTTAATGAGAGCAGTCTGGAGGGGGGTAATGAAACCTACCCTAACACCATTAACAACAGGGCTTATCAGCTCCGGGGACACACGTCAGCATGCTGCGGGCTTTTGTTCCTTGGCTCGAAGGCTGCGCGCCGACCCCAAAGGGCAGATTAAGGATCCTTGGAGCACCGCCGCGTTGAGAAATTACAAAAAAAATCGCCACCAATCCGTGCCTCTATCAGCTTTCACTCTGCTCTTTAGAAAATGACACGAAGGAAGGAAGCATGCTGAGTAGCCGGGCGGGCATCCCTACTGGCACATGTAAGGAATCTGGATTGTGCGTGTGTGTTGGGAGTGTGCGAGCTGGCTGGTCGGTTTGTTACCTGACCACACAGACACCATCAATCTCCCTTTATGTCTGGGGTAATTGATGCTGATGGATGAACTCCTCTTTGTCTAACACAAGCGCAGACAGGCCGGGCGAGCTTCCACTCGCGCAGGAAGTCGGTGCGCACGTGTGGCAACATCCAAAAGGAACAATTAAGACGTCTTTCTACTCTGTCCATGCACGTTTCCTGCCCTCGCTCAAACCGAAGCTTCGCCCCACCGCCGTTTTCTTCTCCACTGAACCCCACAACGTTCTCTGAAAGACTCATTTTCCGAGCATTACGCCAAAGCAAAGCCGCTGATGGCCACACAAAAGCCATGTAAATGAGCTGTGAGAGGGGCCATCAGTCATAATGCCAGATGCGCTCGCCCTTTATTATTTATGGCCATAATTGGGCCATGTTTCCTCAGGCAATGACTGCGCCCTGATGGACCTGATGATGACTCCGCTCAGCCCGACCATTAGGAAGCCGTCTGAAGGCAGGCAGGCAGGAAGGGAGAGGGAACGCGGGCGGAGGGGTGGGTGTCATTAAACAAGAAAGGCCATGTTAAATGATGCGGCGCAGCAGCTGAGCAGCACAAAATGAGATCCATCGAAACAGGATGTGAAGATTACGAAAGCGGCACTTTGCTGATTCAACCTGTTTCTGCGAGTTCAAGACGGAGATTTTTCCAGATGTCAACTTTTTGCTCGTTTACCGAGATGCAACAAATCTGAGTTTTACAGACATTTCCATCGACTTGAGGATGTCACAGTTTGGGAGCAATGAGATTGAAGATGATTTGCTTTGAGGCAGCATAGACCACACTGTTGCTTTGCAGCAAGAAGGTCCAGGGTTTGAATCCCAGTCTGGGCTCCAGAGTCAGCACGCAGCTTCAGCTATTATTAGTGATCAGGGCTGAAATCTGGGTGTAATAATGGACTCTGACCTGAACCTTCAGACCCACATAAAGACAGTTACAAAGTTGGCCTTCTATCACATGAAGGACATTTCCAGGACTAGAGGACTAATGTCTCAGCGAAATCTAGAGAAGCTCATCCATGTGTTTGTCTTTAGTCCCATTTATTACAGTGTCTTCACAGGCCTGCCTTAAAAGAAAAAGTCAATCCTCCAGGTGCAGTTGATCCAGAACGCTGCTGCTCGCGTTCTGACTAAAACCAGGAAGATGGAGAACATCACCCCAGTTATAAAATCCTTATACTGGCTTGGAGAAGAGAAATACTTCTGTCAGTCTGTACATCACTGAATGGCTAAGCACCAAAATACATTAAAAATCTGCAGTATGGATATGTGGGTAAATGCAATGGATGTACGGGACCATAGAAATAGTCTGAGCCGACCCAACGCATGAACGTAAACTGACTTAGCTGTGAACTGTAGTATTTGCAATGCTAGATGCATAACTTTCTGAAAATTGCAAAATGATGAGCTGAAATCAAGAAATTTCTGTTTTATTTTTGCAAAACATTTCTGTTAGGGGTGGGCATTTATTTATTACCATTTATAAAGATAAATGTATTGTTGTCACATTAAATTCCAATCAATGATGTTTAAAATCTCCCAAAACTGTCTGTAGTGTCGGGATTTTTATTTTTTGCTATTTTCTCCACAGCTTGTTCAACGAGAGTATCGATAAATATCAATAAATTGGAAAATATGATAAAGTACAGTTACTGTGTGCTGCTTAGTGATACAAATCACACTTTTTTTATGACTAGTATCATAAAGACGCGTATTACAAAATGGTAATGTTTTTCAAGAGCAGTATTTGTGTTGGTGGGGATAAGGTTGCTGTTTCATTCAGTCACAGTCATACAGTTATGTAGAAACGTCCATCGTTCTTATCGCCACGGTTATCGTTATCACAATAGTACCAGAAATGATCATGATAAAACTTAAAAGTCCACATAAGCCCCCATACAGAAGTCCAATTTTACAGAAGCCTCAGCTGATGGCTAAGTAAACTGGAGCTCTTGGTGGTTCTTGCAGAGCTTGTGCCCGTGTCAAGTCCCTCCTTCAGCCGCAGCCCAACCAATTACAATCCAAGCAATTATCTTTTATTTCCAGTAGAAGACAGGTAACCTGTCAATACTCAGCAGAAGGAAAGCACAAGGAAAACTTACTCCACTGCACATGTATGTGAGTGGTAGGGAACTTGTTCAGGGCACAACTGAACTGACATATAAGATATACTATATTTTCTAATTTTTGAGTGTCCCCTCCCTTTCTCACGCTGCCCTGGACAACTGCCCAGATCAAAAACTGCCACTGACTGGATTCATAAACCACAAACCTCTGTTTGGCCTTCAACAACAACTTCATCCGTCACTGAATTCTGGTTTGACCCTCCCAGGAAGAGTCAATGCCAGTTCTGCGAATTCACGAAGAACAGCTGAGATATCAAGATCCAGCACCATCAGCTTTGGATCTGGATGGTTGACTCAAGGACTGACAGATGCAGCTCAGATGTCCTTCAGCGGCCACTCGTGGACGGACGGACAGACAGAGATGTCTCTGTCTGGTTAATGACCTCCAGTGCGTGCAGGGTTGAGTGGAGTTTGTTTCGCAGACGGTGGAAATGTTTTCATGTCACAACGTGTTGTCAGCCATCAGGAACGTGTCGAGGAGTCCAGCCTGTTGGCAGGTATTCCACGTGTTGGCAGGTCTGCTTCCCTCTTGTCTTGTACATGACGTGTTGTTGTTGCAGGTGTAAAATATTTCAAACGCGAGACTCCCGACAGGTTTGGAGAATGCTGGAGTGTATACAACTGATGATCGGCGTTTCCCCTACCGGTTTGTTTTTCCGAATATGCAAAGCTTTTTTTTTTTTTTTGTTTTCAGTGATGGCGTGCAGTGGGTTCTGACCTCCGAGTCACCTGATGAGAGCAATGAGGATGCTGTACCTAGACGTGAGAATAGATTTGTATCAAGCATCCTGTCGACATTCCAGGCTGGGGGAGAGAAAAAAGGCTTCACCGCTAATGTTTAGACTGCTAAAATAGATAACTATTTGCATTTTTTTAAGACTACATTTTAGTTTTTGTAACTCATTCTGCCCAACTCTGCCTCCTCCTCTCTCTCTCAGGCGTTTGCCAGCACATCTTTCAGTCGGTGAAGGGCTTGTCGGTGCCAGAATGTGCACGCTTTTCCTTCCAGGAGAGGATTGATGCGTCTTCCATCGCTGTGACTGACAGGCTACACAAACAGCTAAGCGATCTGTCTGGGATCTGGGCTCCCCTGCGCAGGCAGAGGCTGCACTAACTCTGATGTCCTGGGGGCCTTGAGCTGGCCCTGTGTGTGTATGTGTTTTTTTTTTTTTTTTTTAACGCCCACACCCCTTGTGTAAAGACTCGGTAGTGAGTGAGCTGCTATTCTGTGCTGTGCATCTAATTTGCTGTTTTGTGGGTCATGGTAATAACTTGTAATCTTAATTAATTCATGAACATTTGGGCACATTTTGGAAGCGTGTGATGTTTTCAGTGATGTATCACACAGTCTGGCTGCTTTACGATGTCCAGAAGGGAGGTAGGGAAGGCGGGGGAATCCAGTTTCAGCCAGTTTACAATATATTGAAGTAAACTTATATGAGTAATTTTATTCTGTAGTTACTCATTTCCAAATGTTGATGAAACTTGATATTTTATTTGGTCTACTCTCTCTGCCTCTGCTTTGGTTCAGCTGTTAGCCCTCAGTTGTTGGAGGAGCAGCCATCTGCTGCCATCTGCTGGTAAAAAACTGTCACTTCACCTAAATCACTGCTCAAAACTTCTTAGTCCAAAACAGGAATTATTATCCTAAAGGCCAATGAAAAGAGACCATTACATAATTGTAATTTATGCAAATAAATATGACAAAGTATATATCTATAACAGAAATATATTTCGTATACTCGGAATAAAACGCGTTTAATTTCAAAAGGCAAAAACTATCAGTGTTTTAACACTTATCACCAAGAAATGGCCTTCCTCTGGTCCTTGTTTTACCAGTTTAATTTAGCACTAATTTTTTATGCTTAAACATATTTTACATATTGCAAAAAGTTGTTTTTAATTATACACATATATATTCATTTGAAAATAGTTTTTATGTTTTTTTTTTTTGTCTATTTGAACGTCATTTCTAAAGGATTGTTTGTTTTTATACATAATTTGTCAGATATAAAATCTGGATTTTGTCTAATAAAGGACATTTTATTTCACTGTGTATAAATATGAAGCTAATCTGTGATTTTTTACACTTCTTTATTAATCCAATTTATGAATTACTTGATATATTTTATGTTAATGAATACTTATTCAGCACTTCGTCATTTTTGCAGATTTTTTTAAATGAAACATGTTTTTGCAGATACATATAATAAAAATAAAACTGTGCAGATAAACATTTAATATCAAATCAAACTGCATTAATATGTTTTTTAGATTAATAAATGCATTATTGTGTTATAAAGTGCAAAATTAAACAAACTTTCAAAAATTTAAATCCTTAGTAGCCTATGTAATTGTGCTGATCCTATGCTAACCATGAAACAACGAAATGACTCAGCTTTACTTTTTGTTGTTAGTAAAGGTATGCTGCATTTGTGAAAGAAGGAATTCTGAACTCTGGATAAAGCAGTGGAAACAAGAACCATAACCTGCTTGGCAGTTTATTCTGCATACTTTGCATATATTAATACTAGGAAACAGATTTATGTGGAGGCCACATGTTCTTGTTCTCAATGTGCGATTGCTACAGTAACAGTGGAAGGAACATGGCGGCTGTTATACAACCACCTGCAGAACGTCGACACTCTTCGGGACTTTGGGCTGAGAGACGTCCGACTTTCTGCGAGCTTTTTTCTCTGCCCCGCCCGCTTTCTCCTGGCACTCCGATTGGCCGCTCTGCTGGTGGCCGAATTCAAAGCTGATCCTGAGCTCTCCCATCTGACAGCGAGGCAGAACGTCGGGGATCCACTCGATCACGAAGGGGCTGGACTCCTTCTGGTCCCCAGAACTCGGTCCTGCCGCGGAACAAAACAAGCGAAGTAGGAAAAAGAAAAGAAAAAAAACAACTAGCAGAGCTACAACTTTTTTTCTGTCAGGGGTTTTAAAATAAAATGTAAGATCATTTTAAAAAAGGGAAACTAACGTACCGACTTTGAGGAAAGTGCGGTGCTCCATCGGTCGTATGGTCGGCGGACGCTCCGTTCTGTATCCGTCTAATGACTCTGGCTCGGGCGGCAGCTCAGGGAGGTGAAAGCGAGAGTAGGAGCCGTCCAGATTCTTTACAAAACTCTGAGTGACCTCCAGTGGCAGCTGGTGGACCAAGTATTTGATCACAAAACCAACAGACACGTTGCACGTTATTGTTTACATTCGGAAATTTCATCCATGCACACAACGCTGGAGGGCAAAAATACGATCCCTTTACATGACATCCAGTAGAACAATTCTGTTAGCAAAATGAAACCTGGAGATGCAAGGATTACTAATTTACCCTGTGCGCCACAACAAAGGGAAAAATAACACAGAAAAACCACTGAAGAAAAACTCAAAACCACTCCTGTTCTGTTTTCTCGCTCTGTGTCGGCTACGCTACACCCGTTGCCAGAGCAACTGACTGACAACAGCTTACGTTCAAGGATATTAGGACTCAACTCCAAAAGGAGTCAAACACTGCCCACATAAAGAACACAACATTCAGTCGCTTACAATATTATGTTCTCAGGCTTGATTTCTGTTTTGTAATTATTATTAATAGCAAAAATATTGTGATAACCTGATTAGTTAATTTAAACACCTGCTCTGCTGATGAGTTGTCAGAGAGTTGGTGTGTGGGTTGCCTTTTTTTTCCTAACTGAACTGAAACGCACCAAATTCTGCAGCACATCTACATTAAGGTTGTCATAGTCAAGCTAGCATAACTGATTTACTTTCTTCTCCCTCCCTATTTTGTTTTTATGAAAACTTTTTACTGACCTTGAATATAGTTGTCAGAGTTGACAATTAGTAGCAAAGCACCGCGTTCCTTTGTCTTTCATAGTATATTTAGGATTTAGCGCATTATATTGACAGCATGACAGCTAACACCAGGGATCTTGCACTTTTTATGTCACATTGCAATGTGACTCGAGGCTGGTCAAAATCAGCTCCAACACTTTGCTGTAAGGATGGGTTTTGAGATCTGACCTTGTAATTCAAGCCACAAAAACTCAACCTATAATCACGCTCCAAGCAAAATATTTGCGATAACATAATATATTATCTGTTCCGGAAAGAGGTTATCTCCTTCCTGAGCCTCAGGATTTTACCTCCGGAGTGTCAAAAATGTGTTTGACGTGTAGCAGATTGGTGAAGTGCCAGGTGTACTTGGAGAAGGAGCCCAGAGGAAGTCCGTCGTTCTTCACAAATGCTGACAGAAACAGAAGAAATGTGTTCACACAAGTTGAGCTTTTGAAAAGTATTGTGGACATTTTTGTTCAAACACTGACCTGTTGTGAGGTTGGGCAGTCTTCTCTTCTTAGATCCCAGTGACAGACGCTGCTGGAGGGCGTTGAAGAACTCCTGGGGGATGTGGTAGACCAACGGCTGGGGTTTCCCTGACACCGAGAAACAAAATTAACGTTTAAGTGATAGCTAAAACCAAAAGTTTTGAAAAAGTGTAAGTTTTCCCTTTGTTTACTCCAAATAGATTATATAGATAAATTCTAGGCAGTAAAAATCCAACTTTCAGAATAAAATACTTCTCTGTTGTAAGAAAAATTGCTTAAATTGCCAGTTAACTGCTTGCCTGCACTGCCCTCTAGTGGATAAAAGAGTGAACTACATTGGGCTAAACCAGCAACGTAGATGTAAAGGGGAAAAAAGTCAAGTTATTTTCATACAATTTTAATATTTGTGCCATTAATTATTGTTGATCATGTCATTTTTAAAGCCTCAATGATTAGTGAGATTTTATATGACAGATCAGTACTGAGACAACATTGTGACAAAGAAGGAAAATTGCACATTAAGAACAGAGCTGAAGAAATGCAGCTGATCTGATGATCTGAAATAAAATTTGTTGCAGGCAATTGGCTTCAGAAGTCAGCTGACTAGTAAATCCAGCTGTTGTGTTACTTGTTAGAGAACATTAGGGAACAAGCAGCACTGTGAAGGTTATACATGTATCCCAACATACATAACATAGACCACAATGTTCAGACTATTAACAGTAAAAAGTAAAAAGCATCAAGAATTTTTATTATACTTCACAATCATACACTTCTTTCAGTTGGTTAGTCACACAAACTTAACCAAATTCAAGGGATATGAATACCCAGTCATCCAACTAGAGGTGGGGGCTTAAAGTATTATCACCATATTTTTTGGTACTAATGTGACAACAATAAAATAAAAGACAATACAAATTTTTTATTACTTATTTTTAGATAACTGTATGGTTTTGACTTTATGACATAGCCCAACAAAAATAAAATCTGCTCTTGAAAAATTTGTAGTGTGCTTCTTTAGGACAACAGTCACAGAAAGAAGTTTGATTTGTATCACTACAGTAACTGGATTTAATCATATTTTCAATTTTACTGATATTTATTGAGAATCCCAATGAAAAACAGTGGAGAAAATAGTAAAACTAACAATACGGACCATTTGGGTTTTCTTAAACAGGAATGTATCTTGATAATGATAACTCAAAATTCTTATCACGATAAATGAGAAGCGATACGATAACTAGCTCCAACGTCCAATGCCTTGCTAAATATGAAAGGACGTTAATGCTAAGGTTACCGTCAAACTGGTAATGCATCGTCTGATGGATCCTCTCGGTCACGCTGGCTAGCCACTGCTGGAACCCCATCGTCACTGAGAGCTCGTCCACAACCTGAGCACTGCCTGAGGAGAACCCACACAGTTCACTGAAAACGTTTCATCAGCTTCTGGTAGAACATCACATGTGCAACACAGTCTCTCCGGATTAGTGGAGAAAATTAAAGAGATGAACGGCAAAGAGTAAGACGAAGACAGGCAGCAAAAAACACATAGGCCCAGAGGTGAGACAGGCAGCACCTGCAGCCTTCAGCCCACCAGCGGTTTTCCTCTGACCGGCTTTCCTCAGAGCGGAGGCCGGGGCGCCTTCTTTCCCCGCCGCTGGGAGGAGCGTCGCAGTGATGGAGGTAAAGAAAACAGGTTGGGAAGAGGAGGAATACAGAAAGAGAAGGCAGCACAGTGGGAAGGTTCAGACTGATGTTAATAAGGGAGAGCGAAGCATTTTGTGCGAGATCAGGAAGTGTTCTGAACGGCTACCGGAGGCCGGCTCATCCAAACGCTGCTTCTTCACTTTGTGGTGGGAGTTGTTGGGTTCGGCCTGCTGCAGGGGTTTTTCACCGGCAGCGTTCTGCTGTACAACTGAGGAGAAAACACAAAACATGTTGAAAATCAGCTGTCATTTTATCTCTGGCTCTTTTGAAATCTTTAAATTACAACAGCAACTATGCCTTTCGCAATAATCAATTAATCAAATAAGTTAAACTGAGGTCAATATTTTCCATTCTGATGAATGAAATGTTTTGAAGGGAAATTTTGCTTAAAGATATCATATTCCATTTAATTTATGGTTTTGGTAGCTTCCTCTATATTGATTGCATCTCTGCATCTCAGCAAGTTTGAGATGTGGCAATTCAAAGATGAAATGTAAAATTTTCCTATTTATTCCGTAGAATTTTAGATAACCTCACCTGAGGAATAGTTGACGAAAGCCGCAAACTCTGCCGCCAGCTTCTCGTTGCTCGAGAAGGCGCACACGCAGGCGTAGAAGTGAAGGCAGGGCTGGGAAGAGGCCGGGAGAGAGCCAGCTCCATCCGCGCCATGTTTCATCCTTCCTGCGCTGAGCTGGCAGCTACAGTGAAACACGCTCCTGTTGTTCTTCTGCGTTTCTATCTGAGCCACCGTCAGGTGCAGCAGGCCCAGAGGATGCTGCGAGTCCGTGTGGCACTTCACCACCAGGGTGTCTTTAGAAACCCGCTGCACCAGAGGCCCGGGGGACTCGGTGGCCAGCCGCCACAGCTCCTCCCTGGCTTGGATGGAAGCCTGTAAGGCCTCCAGGACGGAGCTCTTAAAGGTGAGCGGCGTGGCGCGGCTCCGGCAGTCTATGGCCTGCTTAATGTGGACGCAGAGGCTGTCGGAGGACGGCTCCGTCGACGCCGAGTCTGGCTCGCGCTTGCTTGACCTCTCGCCCTGCCTGCACGAGGGCAGGAAGCAGCGGCCCAGGTTGATGCGCGTGAGCAGGGTGGCTCCATCCCCGGTCGCTATGGCTGTGTCTGTGGGAACCAGCTCCACGAAGCCCCACTGCGTGGCTCCTCTACTTCTGTGGCACACCGAAAACACCTGCGCACCTCCGCCTCCTGCTTCCTGCTCCTTCCCGAAACTCTCCTCCTCGCTGTCGGTTATCACCCTCACCACCTCCACTGCGCCTTTCTTGCCGCTTTTGCAGCCCGCCGAGGCATCTCTGAGGGTCACGCCGCAGGCTTTGTTCTTGCAGCTGAGCCCACGGGTGCCGTTGTAGACCCCGCACTGAGGGCATTTGCGGATGCCCCGCAGGGTAGCCCTACCCAGGTTGGAGAGAAAGGCGGGAGTTGTGGCCGTGGACCTCCTGCTTTCTCGCTGCTTTGCAGCTAAGCTGGACTGGGTGACGGGAGTTTGAGGGGAGGCCGATGAGGAGGACACGATGACTTCACTGTCCATTTCAGGGTTTTAAAATAAAGACTTCAGCTAAACAAGCCTTGAAAAAGAGAGAGAGAAAAAACTTTCAGGTTGAGAAATTAATTAAATAGGACTATAATGTTATATTAGCCGGTTCCACTTTAAAGCTACAAGCCAAACTACAAGTGATCAGATACAACTTTTCCACTTCCGATACATACTGATATTGCAGATTTTAGTCATGGCCAATACCGATATTGAGCCAATATGATATCAGGACGTATCATGCGCACATTTATTTTGTAGAGTGGAACGTCACAAAAGGCTTGATCTAGTGATAATACCCAGGGAACAATACTCAACAATTGCTACGACAACAACTGCCCAATTTATTGTTAACCAATGGGTCAGTGTGTGGAAGATAAGCGCTGCTGAATAGAAATGCTGGAGCAGAGAGAATCCCTCCATCAGCATCCTCAGATCAGAGATTTTAGATGTAGCTTGATGTAATCCAATACTCATTTTTTGGTTGGAATTGGACCAATTTCCTATATCAATATCAGATAAGGACCTCCCCTAAACCAAACATTTCTTTTAAAATCAAACCCACCTTAGCTAGTTTGTCAGTTCAACAACAAAATGTCCATCCAATGTCATCCATTTTGAAAGCTCTATCTGAAGAAAAGCAACCAAGAAGAACGTCTTGTCAAACTTACCTTTTATCGTAATTTGGTGTCAAGGTGGAGCATAAAAAGTTTAACCTCTTGCATCTCAAGAGCTTTAGAATCTATATAAAAATGAAGCAAAAATCTCTCCTCTGCCATAGTATTCACCAATTCAAGTTAATTCCAGAATCTCTTGTGATGTCATCAAGCATCACAGAGAAAAGTTTTAATCTTAACTGTGCTTTTTAAAAACTTAGTACCATCAACAAATCATTAAATGGTGACACATAATTCATTGTCCAGTTGCGTTTTTTCTGGGGCACTGAGAGTTAGTGGGGGGCAAAAACCCATACACCACTGCATACTATCTTTAATACCAAACTTGTAATAAAAGAACACTGCCTCATTGATCTTACATCAGTTCAAATGTTTCTGAGTGCTTCAAATGTAACAAGCATGTGCAGAATTGCTACACAGAATCTTTTGTACCATACAATCTAGCCTATTTCTCTATGAATATTTGAAAAGCAAATGCTCGAACTACCTCTAATCAGCCTCTGGTCAAATTCTGCTTCACTCTGGCCTCCTAAATCGTCTCGACCGTCGCCATTCCTCCTTACATCCAGATACCCGCATTGCGCCTGTAACGGACCTCCCCATTGGCTGGTGGATATCACGTGGAGAACAGACAGGGGACGTGCGCTTCTGAAGCGAGGAATCACGGTACATGTAGTTGATTTAAACCGGGAGCAGGATAAACGAGCTCCTGGGGGTTGTGTTACGCGCTTTTCTTTTGAGTAATATCCTGTTTTGTTATGTTTTTAAGTCACGTCCATAGACGGTTTCCAACTTTCTTCATGAGTCGTGACATATAAAGACGACAAAATGCTGAAACCTACCTGCAGTATGAAAATGGTAGCAGAAACTATTCAACTTTTAGCCAACCTGATCACATTATCACCGTTTTATATTTGTAATATCGCCAATGACCAATGTTGTATTCTAAAATTAGCTGGTCCAATATTTAGTAAGACATTATCTGTATTAAAAATTCAACTTATTCTGCCCATGCAAGCACTCCTGACAATTAAAATACGGCATTAACCTGGTTGTAGAATGTTTTTGGACAGAAGATTCAAAAGCGTATTCTACAGTCACTTATTAAACAAAATTAAGCCAAATTGGGGAGGGGAAAAAAATCAGCTTGGTGTCGTCAAGCTAATGCTATTGATTAAGTGATCACCTGCTACCTGTCCTTAAAAGTATGTTTTTCACTTTGCTAACAAAAAAAGAATATTTTTTTCTTTTTTTAGCAAGGACCTTAAATAACCAGTGGTTACCGTTTATCTACAGTCAAATTTCTAAACTCTTAATGCCACAAATCTTAAAGGATGAAACATCGTCTGCCGGAAAACATTTGAGACATCCCAGCAAACTCATCATAAGGTCAGACAGTGAAGCAGTCAGAAAAATTACAAAACCCAAGAGCTCCATCTCAGACACCCTAGGCCTCACTTGGAAAGCTAAATGTTAATATTAGTGACCATATTAACTTGCAGACGTATGACCACTCTGGTATAGTTGCCAGGAGAAAACCTGCCCTCTGAAAAAAATAGACATTAGTTTGCAAAATCACATCTGATGGAACCAAGAGAACAAAGAGACTTTTTGAACATTGTGCTTTGTGCATATGAGGCTAGAGAAGTTTGGTGAAACATATTGTCACAAACATCTCAAATCGGCTGTCAAGCATGGAGGTGGGGTTGTGATGGTCTGGGCTTGTTTAGCAGTCACTGTGGTCCATTTATCCTGCTGTATAATGAAATATTTTAGAATCTGTTGACAGCTCAAAGTTGGCCGGAACTGGATACCGCAGAACAAAAAAAAAAAAAAAAAAAAATGGGGAGAAAATCTGTGACTTTAAGACTCAGTCAGAAAAAATGAGCTAAAACTATTTCTGATCTAGGTTTTTAAACAGACTGAATTCTAGGTTGTGGGGGAAAAAACATCCTTTGATTCAGAATAATCAGCTTAAAGCACCTTTTGACTAAAATTGCAGAGACCATTGCCTATCTCAGAACAGTTTCTTCTTCTTCACTCCAAAACACCTTTAAACAACGAAACAAAAATCTTGCTTTTCATAAAATGAGGAGAGGCGAGTTCACCAAATCAGCTCGAGGCACCAAGTAGATCTGCAACAGTTGTCACTATATGATGAAGTTTCCATTTAAGTCTGGAAAACTTTTCAGTGGCCACTTAACACTGCTATGAGCCTTTAAAAAAAAAAACAGCACATCTGAAGATTCAACCTTCAATTGTACAGTTAAAAAAACTTTTTTCAAACATTGTTTCCAGGGAAACTAGCTGCAAATTGCAAACAAGCGTTCGATTTGATCAAGTCATTTCCAAAGGTGAGAAGTAAACGGTGTAAATGTGAGCTGTTATAAACATCAGCTTTTGTTTTTGTTTTTTTTAATGGGACAAAGCAAAAACACAAACCATATCACTGATTTATGAACAGAACCCATCTTCTCAAAAACGTAGGCTGAAAACATTCATAGGCACCGCCTACTCTCTTATTTTTATTTATTTTTTTGGTTAAATTAAAAGTAACTGAACTTGATAAGGCAACAAAATGGATTTTCCAAATCTACGGACATGACTGTAGACAAGCTGCAAAAGTCTTGAGCGCTAGAAGTAGGTTTCGGAATCTATAAAAACAATCACTACAATGGTGTAAAACAATAATTTAAATTATAAAGTTTTTTTTTTCTTTTTTGTTCGTTTTTTTCCTTTAAGTTTAATCTAAAGACTTCTGCATTACATAGCAATGCCGCTTGTCCTCCAGTCTGCTGGACGAGTGAAATGTTGCTCTGCTTCTACCAGCACTGGACAGAGATGCTACTTTCAAACAGGTGCCGGGATCGGTTTCCCCCAACCAGGAGCAAGCACGCATTCTCGTTGAACATGTCTTTATACAGCTTTAGTACAATTAAACAGACTGTTTGGCTATTTACATAACAGGCTTCCAAATAAAAACCGCAGAAAAAGTGGAATGCAAAAAAAAAAAAAAAGAAAGAAAGAAATAAAATTTAGAGTACTTCAAATTTTGTGGAAGGATAACTAAGTTTTGTGCAATCTTTGTCTGCCTGTACGTAAGATAAGAGTGGCAGTAATCCCTGCAATTGTTTAGAGATATATACGAATTAAAAAAAAAAATAAAAATCAAGTCGACAGCCACTTAATGACGTCCAAACGTAAAAAGGATCTCGCGCGTACATGATTTCCTCAGTTTCCTCAGTCCTGAAATTAAACACAAAAGGCGAAAGCTCTTTATACAATGTCAGCATTTAACGTTGCCCGGGAAAAAAAAAAAAAAAAAAAATCTTTCTCAAACAGTTTTGTAGCAAACCACCCCCCGTCACAATAAAAAAGAAACAAACAGACAAACAAACAAAAATAAACGATACAATGGCATAGTCCCTTCTGGGTTTTTGGGGGGTAGATGACAGCGACATAGTCTTGGTGAGTAAAAGCGTCAGTTCATGCACACCCGCGCGCGCGCACACACACATACACACACTTCTTTATCCACAAATGAGTTCCTCCGTCTGTTCCGACCGTTTAGGTCCGGTCCGGTCCAGGATATGGCATGAAGAAGCTCTGGCGTTTGTTTGCAGCTTTTTGTTGTGACCAGTTTCCTTCCCAACCTGCTGACTTCCATTGTTCATTAGAATAAGCTAGAGCACACCCTGAGAACTCACTCGGGACTGCTGCGTCACTACGGCAACGAGCGGACAGGGCGACGACGTCGAGGTCGGCGGCGCTTTAACGGAGAGAAAAAAGGAACAGCTCTTTGTCGGTATGTGGAGCGGCTGTGTTTGCAATACTGTAGGTTACCGAGCGCCGCGCCTCGCCGCCTTGCCCTCTATGGATGATTGTTAAATAGTGATATAAAATTCTGCCCTTGATCTTTGGCTTTCAGGGGCTGAGGACATAGAAAGGTTTCCTTTAATTCATGTAACACTTGCTTTCTTTGAACTAAACTCTCTCTGCTAGAAATATAATAAACAGATAAATGTTAAATTTGCATTTGGCCATGAACACACCAAACAATAAAAACCAGAGGGGCGGAGGGGGGTCCAGGAATGCAATGTGCATTAGCGGTGGCTTTATCAGTGTTTAACGTGTGTACAGTCATGTTTCAACCTACTGATTTGGGCAGTGGGTGAGGCTTTGGGCTGGTTTAAAAAAAAAAAAAAAAAAAAAAAAAAAAAGGGCAGACCAGCTTCACTAGAAGTAATTTTTGTGGTGTGACAGTCAGAGCACGTCTGATGCGCTCCTTCCTTCCCCCAGCAGAGTGTAATCCTGGTGTCCTTGGGCACTAAGAGAGGGCGGGAGGGGGGAGGGGGGTCTGTGATCAGTGGGTGGGGTATCCAGTGGTGCTCATGCCTGCCTGGTTGGTTAGCATTGTCCCGTTGACTCCCTGCCCAGGCTCCACCATGCCCCCATTGCTCACGGCGCCCACGCCCGTCCATCCAGCTCCTGCATGTAAATGACTAAAACAGGAAACAAAAGTTATAAAACGGGGGTTGAACGTTTTACTAGAAATAAAACAAAAATCACAGAAATGTGGGTTTCCTTCCCCAGAGCAAAGCAGTGTTGCAGCACAACAGACTGAAAATACTCTGGCATTTCAGATGCATATAAACTAGAGATCAAACACGCATTAAGTGTTAATTATGGACAAGAATCCAAATCTGATGCTTTTATTTTGAAGGAAAAGGCTGTCCTTTTCTTTGACAGAAAAGCACACCAAAAGTAACAGCAAAAACTCTAAAATCCAGAGCTTTTATTGGTAACTTTTACAGAGCAACTAATAAGTTAAAAGCCTTAATAGTTGCCCCCTCTCTCTCTGCAAGCTGTGAGGCTAAGAGCCAAGTTATCTGGAATCTTTCCTTGGTAAAATTAGCAGCGCCCGAACTTGGAGTACGCTCAGACATTCTTCATTGCAGTACTGGAGTATCACAAGGTACTGCGTATTCAAAGGCCACAGCAGAACAAGATGTAGGTGACTTCTTTTTTTTTTTTTAAACATCTTTTATATAACCTCTGTCACTTTAAAGAGTATAAACTATTAGACTTTTGCAGTGAGTTTCATGATAAACCCACAGAAATTAAGTAACTAGGTAAGTAAGTAAACCTTATTTAGATAGCACCTTTTTGCAGATGGAAAACCACAAAGTGTTTTGCCAAATGCAAGACATAAAACCACACAAGATCAATATATGTGGCATAAAACATGAACAAATGTGTTTTCAGCTGCTTCTTTAAGGCAGTCAGCGTAGCTTCTTCTGAGCAGGTTATTTTGATCGTTAAAATGTTTCCACTCACTTGTAGCCCTGCTGATCCCAGGTCTGTCCGTAGACGCTGTAGCTTGGCACCTGCCATCCGTTGGGCACGTACTGACCGATCTGTTGCGTGTTGCTGTACCACTGGCCCCACTGGTTGTAGGGTTGGGCTGCAAAGCTCAGCGTGTTCTGCTGAAGTACAGATGGATTGTTTGAGGAGAAAAATAACATCAAAAATAACAAGTTGTGTTTTTTTTTTTTTAAAGGAAAATAAAGATTGGTCCTACCTGTGCCATCTGTACCTGCTGTATGGGGCCCTGTGCAATGTCTGTCGTTTCTTTCCCCCAGTAGCACTTTACTATGTTGCCTTCTATGGAGGTGCCGTTTACAGAAACTATGGCATGAGCTGCAGCCTCATGGGAGTTAAACCTGTGCAGAGAAAAGAACTGAGACATTATGTACGACCTGATTTCAAGTTATCCTACTGTATAAGGTTCATCTGACAAGGAGATCATCCTCTGCCTAAGACAGGTGCATCTAAAATTAGGGATGCACCGATCCACTTTTGTCACTTCCGATATCTGAGGTTTTGTATCACCCAATACTGATCCGATACAGAAAAACAGACATAAGTGTACTGAATTAAAACTTTATACAAAAGTACAGCACACTTAAATATACCATTAGCTTCACAAGCTTGGTAAAAACAGCTTTCGTTTGTTTAGTTGGTGAAATTAGGATTATAACAGCCACTGTAAAATTAAAGAAACTGACGAAAACAATAAGTTGACTAGCTTGGTCAAACATGTAAAAATAAAGTGGATCAAACCTTCTTTCAAATGGTTCAGAAAGAGCAATTAGGAATTCTAAATATAATGTAAAATAAATACAGAATGAAGTCGCTCAGAGCACAAAGCATATTGTCCCTGACACCTGATCTGATTTTTTTTTTTAAATATCGGTCCCGATACAGATATCGGGACCGATACAGATACAGGAGAAGATTGGTTCTTCTCCATTTAAAAATCAGTTTACCTCACAAAGGAGTAGCCTTTTTCTGGGAAAACACGGATCTCCATTATTTGGCCAAAAGGTGAGAAGGTCTGTCTCATTATTTGCTCTGTGAAATAAAACAAAATAAAGTTTTTAAATTGTGCTTCCAAGACTTCACCGTGGTGTCATTAAACAAGTGCTCACCTGTGAGACCTTGTGTGACTCCTCCACAGTAGACTGTGCAGTTACTGAGGCTGGACTGGTTTAACACCTCATCGAAGGAGAGCTGTTTGGTACTGGCTGCTAAAAAATGTATGAGAAAAACATGACAAATACGAATGATATGACAACACATGAAGAAAGTTCAGAACAGAACGCAGCAAACTAGAAAATAAAAACCAACGAAAATGCAACATCTTATTTACATAGAATCGCCACAAACTTACTTTCATTTGTCGTTTTAGGAGCAGGCTTCCTCGTGGCCCAGTTGGTCCTTATCTGCCGTCCTCCTAGCCACTGGCCCCCCATTTGCTGGATGGCGTTCTCTGCATCCTAAACACGCAAAGAGAGTTAAAAAAAGAAGCGTTGATTGCACATTGCAGCTGGAGCTCAGAACCAGCAGACAGATCAGTGAAGACACACTCACCCATTTGTTGAAGAAGGAGACAAAACCATAGCCTTTAGATTTACCTGTGGCCATGTCTTTCACAACGCGACAGTCCCTGCATGTAAACACATTCACACACAGTTTGACGAAACAATTTAATAATAATAATAATAATAATGTGTGTTTTACATTAGAAGGTATTAGGAAGTGCTGATAGATTGAAAACGGAGTAGATGAGCACATTCATCAAATTAGGATGCAGCTGAAATTCAAATCCAAAAAGAAGTGTTGACTGAAACTTAAGACAGTAAACACAATTTATAATTTTGCTTTTATTTTAATTGGGGTCACGAACTGGACTCAAGATATTTTCCCCATCGATCCGATTCTCAGATCGGTACCGATATTCAGTTGAACATTTCTGAAAGAAAAACAACTTTCTTTCAAAGCTTGTGGTTCTTCTTTTGCTTTTGATAGTTTCTCTGTTCCTTTTGATTTGTTCAAAATTACTGAGCACTTTGCGAGCATGTGCAGCACAAATATTTTGAGGGGAAGAGCGTGGGACGTGCAGCGATGAGGAGACACTTACGATATTTTTCCAAAAGGAGCAAAAGCTGCTTTTATGTCGTCTGTGGTGATTTCTGGACTGAGGTCTCCAACAAAAACATGGAAGTGACCTGAAGACATAAGAAAAGCACAGATTTTTAGAAAATAAAACTGAACATTGTCAAAATACTTATTGGAATACGTTTTAGAATATAAAAATATTTAAGCCAACATCTCGCATATGAACTACACAAATCTCTTGATAGAAAAACTCTACTTTAAACAGTATAGTGTTTTGCAAAAGGAATCACAACCATTGAACTTTATAGAGTTTTGTCACCTTAGCATAAAAACTGAAATTCTAGGTGTGTGTGTGTGTGTAAATCTATGTTTTGTCCAGATACACAGATGTGCAAGTGAATGATTAATTGTGAGTGTCGTCACATGAGTTACTTACTGCTCGTGTCTTTCTTCTGGCTCGTTGGGGTCGTGGCCCAGTTGACCTTCACCTCCTGCAAGAGACACAAAATGCAAAGAGCAGGGGAAGACAAAAACGTGAGACGAGAGGCGGGCTCCAAAAAGAAGAGGGTTGCTGTTCTCTGATTAGAGGGTGGGGGGGGGGGTCACACAACCAGCTTTACTTTTGGTTTTATTTTGTGATTGAGAACTGTTGATTAGGATGGCCTCGGAAAAGCCACAGAAATGCTTATAAAACCACCAACACAAACCAATTATCCATGGTTGTCTAATTTTACATATAACCTGCATCAATTAAGACATTGCTATACATAAAAGGGATATTAAAGACTTGTTCAGGCTAGTAATTTGGAGTAAAACTGTAGGAAGTAAGGTCCAAATAACAAGGGACTTACAAACAAGTGATTTTTACGAACTTGTTATACTCCTCAAATGGTCCTTCAATACCTGTTGAGGATAAAATATTTTCAACTCAAAGTATTTTCCTTAAGAATTGCTCTTATGTGGATTCTAAGTGGAAATAAGGTTGCAAAGAACACACAGCATTAAAGATGTAGAGATGTGAGGGGGGCACAGAAGAGCATCGATTAAAATCAGGTCAAAGAAAGTTACATGTTGCATAAGAACACACAGGGGCCACATTTAATTCAATTAATTCAGAAACACAGACAGAATGGAGGATGGAGAGACAAACAGGACTGTATTCATATTGCATTCATTAACATGTTCTGTTGTACGGAAGCCTAACACGTGTTAACATGACCTTGATAGTACAAAAGCAGAGAAATCAGCTGGTTACCGGGCAATTTTCAGTTTGATTAACCCCAATCAGTGATTGGACGATTAAAACCCCAATCAGTGGATACAGCAAGCTAAGCGTTACCAAGTTACTGCAAACACTCTTTGTGCCAACGCGATGACTGAGTGAATAAAAATAATAATAAAAAAAAACCTAGAAATGTGAGAAGCAATCTTAAAGAAAATTGTGGTTTCTGTTACATAGGGTCTGCAGTTGTGAATGAGAAAGCAATGAGACTTTAACAATTAAAAAAGGTAACAATGTTAAGAGTAATGATTCACGTTTGCTGTAACGTGTAAAAATGGATTCAGAGATGTTTTGGAAATTTAAAGAGTTCAGAGAAAGATCTAAAATGCTTAAGATTGTTAAAAATTTGTAAAAATTTAATCTCTGTAGTTGTGTGAAGGACATTCGGACCACTTTACCTCACTTTGCCACTTTCTTCTTCTACTATTCTCCAATTTGGATTATTTGCTTTTATTTCAACTGTAAACTTTACATCTTCTCAATTATTTTCTCTCCACACAGACGTTAAATCTGGTGTGGCTGTGGTACGCTGCCAACAATAGATGTTCACACCGAGCCAGTTCTGTTGGAGGGTTCCTCCTGCTAAATGGGAGTCTTTCCTCTCCACAGTCGCTACATGCTTGCTTTGTAGGAGGGATTACTGTAGAGCCAACGACAGGAGGAGTGAATGCTGGATTTAACTAGAAATTGAATTTTTTTTTTAACTAATTTGAATAATAAGCTGGATCAACTTCTAAACTCCTAAACAGAAGATAAGTGGGTGTCGACATGAGCAGAATGGACATTATTAGTTTTCTTACAGAGTTAAAGAGGTGAAGTGGTTTGTAAAAGGTGAGAGGATGAAGTTGAGGAACGAAAAAGTAATTCATTCTTATTCTGACTGTGAGGTTAAAAGTAACATTTCTGGTGATATTTAAAGATGCAAACAGCAGGAATTCATTTGGAAGAAGATTAAGCACAGAAAGCAAAATACACCAATCAATATATCAATGTTAGGATGGAAAAATGATCAAAATCAGAAAGAAAAATACTTTCGCATCAATATGCGATGCAAACATAGGCTTTTCTATTTCTGACTTTTTTTTCTTGACTTCTTTATTTGCACACAGTCTGAATACTGTCCTGCAATAAATTGGCTTTAATGAGTTCTACATGATACACATTAAGAAATTAGAGTCTGCACTTAATCTGCAACATAAAATTACAAATATCAGAAGACTAGCTGATGGAAGCTAAACAAGAAAATCATTGATGTGCATTTTTTATAAAAAAAAACAAACAATGAAAACAGGAAAGTTCTCAACACAGAACTCAAAACGTGACTAAAAATCTCTGATGCTCTCAAGATTTTTGAAACATTCGAAGAAAGAATGATTAAAGTAGCACTCCCGACTCAGACATTTTGTACACAGGGGAATAACATTTAAAAATAAAACAAATCAATAACATGAAGCGGAGCAGGAAAACAGGAAGTGAGACGTATTTTAACAGGATGTTTGTTTAGAACCTTTAACCGGCCTCGCCCTCGGCGGCTCGCTAAGGAGATATGATAGCTTACCTTACCCAGTATTTTCCGACCATTCATGGCTGCGATTGTAGCAGTGGCGTGTCTATGCTCATAGAACTCCACAAAGCAGTATGGATCGTGACCTGCTGTCTGGAGTGGACAAGAGACACAGATTCAACAAAACGTGCTCTGAATTAGACGATATAAATGGGAGGCCGCAGTATTAGCGTGCCGCTGGAAAAGAAAATAGCGCAGCTTCACAAACAGACGTCAGATCGGGTCAGTCGAAGTAAATAACGCCACCAGTGAGACGAAATGAAACAAGGTGAACTCACATCTACTATCATTTTGCAGCTTTTACAAGGCCCAATCTGGCTGAACAATTCCAAGATGAGGGCCTCCGTCACGTCCCGGGACAGATTCCCCACATACCTGCACACGCAAACACAAACAGCACCGAGACAACATGAGGGACTGTTCACGATGATGGTAAACAGAGCTATTGTGGGTGAGGCAGCAGGAAGCGTATACGCGCGTTTCGTCTGGAGCTGAATTCAAATGGAAGGTGGTTGAAGGTTTGGAAAGACATAAGACACAAAAAGCTGTTTAAAAGCCATTTAGCATGTTTTCACTTTTTTTCCTTCTTATTTCAAATTTTAAGGCTACATCTCTCCTTCGGGATGTTTTATTAAACCGGCGTTGGCGGTGAGCTGCTTTTAGCGATTACCAGGAAGGTTGAACATGTTACAGCCAAGCTCTGGTTTGATTGTGTTGAGATTTTAATCTCTGTCTGACTTGGAACGCTCTGGATTTGGAAGATATACAGGTAAAAGTTGAGGCGAAGATTTACAAGAGTAGGGTAAAATGTTAAAAATGGTGTTTCAGTCAGTTTATAAATTACACTACAGTGTCATAAATCCCCATCCGCTAACAAGCCTCAAGTATCTGTGTTCACTAAGAAACATAGGACAGAAAGTCTTGACCCAATTATTCCCATTGCATTATGTAGGAACCTGCTGGCAGCAAGATCCTAACACCCAATAGGTCACTGAGCCTGAAAATCCTTTATAAATAATAAACCAATTCTTTTTTAAGATATGTTGTTAAATACATGTATACATATAAAATGCAGAAAAATTGTAAAATACAAAAATGCTTTTAGTGATGTAGTCTATAAGACTTAGTTGATGCTAAAAGTAAAGAAATGTGGTTTTAAAAAATAAATTCCAATTAAAACTAAAATTCTTAGCTTCCAAGAGGAAAAAAATAATCTTTGGGAATTTTGGGAAAAGAAAAAAACAGCAGTATGAAGAACTGAAATCAACCAAAATATTAAATTTCAACTTTGCCACATCATTTTAGTTTTACTCGCTTTGTTCCAATAAATATACAATTAAACAAATGCATTTCAAAAACCCAAAAGGAAAAAGCGCTTCTATTGTACTCGAAGGAAGAAGCTTGATCCAAGTGGTATTTTTCAGGATTTTTCTGGAAGTAGCTAGCTTAGTTATGTGGCTAGCATTAAACGTCTCGACTACAGCAATTGTAAACCTCTGATAAAAATATACTATTGCCATTGAGATAATAGCTAGACAATGGCAGCTTATAAAGCTAATTCTCGTTCAAAAACCGGTATTATGAGACGTTTCCATTTACATGTACTGCTCAATGTTGTGTGACGAATACAAGCGGTTAGCTAAGAGCAACGCAGTCATACACTTACAGGGTTTTCGGCTGCTCGTCGTCCATTCTGTCTCACTTAGTGGCCGAAAACAAGTCGCGACCTTGTGAGCAAATCCACGACGGTCACAGTCAGCTGTCGGTGACACAGTCAGGATACTTTAATACGAGATGTAGAGGGATTTGACACCGTTGTTAGCTTCGGAGTGAACAATGGGCTGCCGACAAAGATGGCGGAGCGACCGGGGGCCGATTCCAAACACGCATGCGCGACAGTTCAGCCAAAGGCGACTCGGACGCAAATTACAAAATAACACCAACTGGAACAAGAGCTTCTCTCATATATATATATATATATATATATATATATATATATATATATATATATATATATATATATATAACCAATTTAATTTATTTATAGCACTAGTCCTTTATCACATAAAATGAAAAATAACACATATAATCCTAAATGTTAAAATAGAAAGTTAAATATTTTTCATTGGATTATGGGTAATTTCCTGCTACACATATCTTTTACTGACAAATATATTTCTATAATTATCTCATTTATCCTAATATTCAACATTAAAATGTTGCTCTAATCAGAATAAAGGTGATTTTTATCGTCTCTTTTGCATCTAGGTATTTCTCCATCAGATATATGTACTGTTGATGAAAAAAATAATCTGGTAATTAAAATAATTCTTAAAAAAACAGTTTGGAATTCAGCAAGTCTTATAAAATGAAAAACTGAAACAGCTTTAGAGGTCAAAGAGGTTTTATTTACAAGTGACCTATTTACATTTTCAGGCAGTAAATTGACCACCGAAAAGAAAAACGAATGTTTGTACAGCTTTGGTATTTAAATAAATTCCTTTTAAGACTTCACTTTGCAAAAACAATAAATGAATAAGCCCTTGTAGAGGAGAGACTACCATAATACACAACAGCATTACATGGTTTGTATTAAATAATATTATAATCTGGAACAATTTCTAGAAAAAGAAAGAAAAAAACAACTAAAAACCTGATTTACTGGAAAACACGATTCTTTAAGTAGAACTTAAGTCATTTGTTTAAAATGAATAACAATGACATAAATTAAATCACCAACATGAAATAAGTAGCTTAAAAAAGCTTCTTTTTTTTTTAATCCAGTTATTTGCACACCTGTACCCAGGTGATGCAGTCCTACATTATTTAAACAAAATGTGTGCAAAAATATTTCACAGATGGCTCTCTGCGCTCGGTCGCCAGCCTAGTCCTCATCTTGGACAGACGTTGTGGTCCGTCATTAGCTTCTCCATCCTTTTGATCTTGCGCTTGTTTTTCGGCATGGGTTTGTCATACATGCCGTTTCGAAGCAGATGCTCTTTGCTGTGGTGGACCTGAGCGCCGTGCTGCAGCTGGAAGGAGCACAGGGCTTTCAGAGGCCTCAGTAATATCTGAGAATGAAAAAAAAAAATTTCAATTAAACATAAAGACTTAACAAATTTTTTTTTTTTTCGTTTTTAGAAAGAAAAGGAAATATTAGCTCAGTTATCAACTGACTCACCTCTTGGATCTCATCGTTCTTCTCTAGGACCGACAAGGCCACGGCGGCGCATTCCAGCGTGGATAGACAGATGTTGGAGGGCTGAGTCCGGATCACGTACTGGCTCGACAGATTCCTGTTAAGCTGGACCTGATAAATCAAAGCAGAAGGAATCGATACAGTCACCAATAGCCCTGTTGTAGTGCGAATTAAAAACACACTCCTTAATGAAATTCAATTACCTCTGTAAAGTAGTTTCACACTGCATATTGATGCCAGAAAAATCAGATTTATAATTCATGATATGACCACTGACAGGACGGCCTGTCGTAAAAGCAATGCACTGTATAATATATA